TATGAGTTTGTCTGCGTCAGCACATGTTGCCCAGTCATGCATATTGACGTCACGCGTTCATAGAGAAAGGATTGTTCTATTTCCGAATTTTTCGATGCCCCCTTATGTGACATGTCTATAAAACGGAGAATACATTTGCAAGTGAATCAGATCAGCTTGAAGACTCACGCAACAGAACTATAAGGGCTTGAAGACTCAAGGAACAGAACTATAAGGGCTTGAAGACTAAATTTCCACCGAAAACATGCCTGTTTTACAGTTTGGAACAACCTTGGACACCTCCAAAAAACTAAAAGTAAGAATTCTTAATATTGTTAACTCACAATGGAAAATATTTTAATCAAGCTTTCAGTGTCATTTGTGATTGTTGGTTCTCAGTAAAGTTTCCGACACTGACAAGATAGCGAAAACTGAGAGACAGCTTAATACCGACTTGGAAAAACTCAAATTACAACTTGAAATATAGTGAGGGAAAAATTTATGAAAGAAAGGAACAACTTACACATAGAGGAACTGAACATACTTTTTTCGTTTCATCCTAGAACGCTCAGAAAGCTCCTCGTGTATTGATTATTGGTGGCGGAGTTGTTGGAATGACCAGTGCTTTACAGTTGTTGAATAAAGGGTAAGTTTGTCACTGACTTATTTTTCTATATATAAAAAAAAGTTTGGAAAGAAGTGAAAAAAAATCGAGAGAAACATAAAGGTTTTGACGTCTTAGATCATTTGTTGGTGCCCAGTCTCATTTGTCCCTCAAATATCACCCTTGTTTTAGGTACAAAGTGACAGTCTTAGCGAAGGAGTACGCCTCCCCAGTCTCCTCCGGTAAACGTATCACTTCTGAGATCGCTGGCGCTCTGTGGGAGTGGCCTCCAGCGGTCTGTGGGCGACACACAAACGAAAAGTCACTGGAGAGAGCCAAGGTTTGGTGCATGGATGGCTATGCCAAGTTCATGGAGTTGGCTATGAACTCGAAGGAAACTGGAGCTTTCCTCAGACAATCTATCTTCTACTTTAAAGACAAGGTAATTCTTCATTTGCAGAACATTTTATCGGGGTAATCGTTTTGTCCTGTGTCCTGTAAGTCATCTGTAGTATTGAATTTATCTCTCAAATGTCAAAAAAGTTTTCAATTTAACACCAAACTCTTGCTCTTTCTTTCTTCAGGTGAACAATCTTCCTCAACAGTTGGAAAAGATGAACGAACTGAATCATTTGCCAGGATTCCGTCATGACGCCAAACTCATCGAAGAAACTGGTAAGTTTGATCATAGTAAAAAAGAAAAAAAAAGGGGCTTTCCCCTTTTCAATATTTTGCTGAACAATGAATAATTTTCGCTGAAAAGCGTCCACACTGAGAAAAAGGATTCCCGTTTGAACGCTTCGCTAACTACGAAGCTCTCCAATTGACAGCTAAATAAATAAGGAATATTGCTAATTTCTTCTCCTTCAGGTGTGAACACAGACACTGGTGTTGTGGACGCATATCAACATATGGCTCCCATGGTTGACACAGTCACCTACATGCAGTGGCTTTACAAACAGTGTCGTGACAAAGGCTGTCGCTTTGTACACGATGAGATTCACGGGTTGTTGAGAGATCAGGCAGAAGACTTGAAAAAGAAATACAAAGCTCAGCTGATCTTCAACTGCTCTGGACTTAGCGCCAAAGAACTGGCAGGAGATGAAGATGTCTATCCCCTAAGAGGTAAATAACTTGTGTATGTCCTACTAAATCATATATGTTGGGCATCCTATGTGTGCCAATTGTAACAAATTGAGTTGGCCTTGATTACCGATCTCTCTTTCCATTTTGCATTCCAGGAGTGATTCTTAAAGTGAGAAACGACGGAAGTTTGATGCCAAAACTCAATCACTCCATGTGCATCTCTATAATCAAGGAGTTCGACGAGTCAGATAAAGAAGGACAAAGCTTCGTGTTCATTCTACCGAGAGGTGACGACAAATTGTGGCTGGGTGGAATGGTACAACCTCATCAGTGGGACAGAGATCTGACACTTGATTATCCACCAATCAGAAAGATGTTTGAGAAAGTAAAGGAGTTCTACCCACCTCTTCGTAACTATGGAGACGATGATGTAGAAGAAGTTTTGGTAGGCCTGCGTCCTGCTCGTCATGGTAACGTTCGTCTGGAGTGGGATCCTGTGTGTCCTTCTCTTCTGCACAACTATGGACATGGGGGCTCGGGTGTGACTTTCTCATGGGGCTGTGCTATTGAAGCCAGTGCTATGGTGGATCGTGTTTTTAAAAGACCACAGATTTACCTTTCAAAGCTATAACCTTTTTTCACCTTTTCCTGTTTTCGTAATTTATGAGCTCATTTTGAACTCCTTGTAGGAGACAGGTCTTGAATCAGCTGTGTGATCGAAGGCTATTGAATGAATTGAGAATGTTACTTGTGCATTGTACATTTTATTTATAAAAAAAAAAACAAAACAAAAGTTATATTATTATTCAAACGAAATTTGTATAATACTGTATGAAATAGTGTGCGAAGCGAATATTGAATAAAGATTATTTTTTGTAAATTATTTATTTCTTTATTTTGCCGCATGGCCGGAGCAGACCCCAATGAGTTCCATTACGACTCGAACTGTCGGAATTGACCAACATGTAACTCCTGAGCACAATTTCAAACATAACTTAGCATGCAGATTATGGGAATATTTAAATTTTAGATATATTTATCGATAAACAGTGGATAGCGTGGAGGGCTTTGATTGGCTTCTGATACTCCGACGATCCGCACGGAATTTGCACCTGAAAATATTTCAATCGTTGCAGGAATAAATTAGTTGAAATCATCTTTTGGTGTCCTATTATTTCACTATCTTAGTGTTCACGAAAACAGCTAAGAAGCGGTGGATATACATCACCGCTTCGCGCCTGGAGGAGGGTTTGGTCATGATGAAACATCAAATTCTGAATTATTTAAAAGAATAATGTAACGATCAAAATGGGGACCTATTATCACTTTGTCGAGCATTACAGAGCACTTTGTGGACTTAAATGGAGAGTTTGGCGGGCTGAAATGTACTTCCTCTCACAAACTTCTAAGCAAACGCAGTGGAAGAACGTGACTGATATACACAGCACATAGGTCACGGATTGCAAGTCACGTAATCAAGTATTACTTATAGTGTCAGAAACGAGTTCTTTTGCTTAAAATTTTTGTTTTTCATTCCACTTTATACAGCCTTAGACCCTTTAAAAGAAGGAAAGTACCGAACAAGATCACGTCGAGAGTTCAAACTTTTCAAAGCTTTTAAGTTGAAGTTAGTGACTTGAGCCAAAAGCAGAACAAATTGATTTAGTATTCGTGATTGAGTGATAAATTTCCGGCTGATTGACGGCAAAACGTGTTCATAGATTTTTCCTCCGGCAATCTATCTTTCGCAAAAAGGTACACGTTGCGTGTACCTTTTTTTTTTTACCTACCTTAATAAAAGAAAATTAACAGTTCGGATATACAAGGAAACTTCATTCACTCTTTATTGTTGTCCTTTCAAAAAATCTTAAATTATTTTGACATCTTTACCATTGTCACCGAGTGACGTGAGTGTTATCACAACTAAACTCGCCTCATACAAATGAAAAGGCAGTTTGATGTTTTGATCATCAAGTTTCTAAAAGATCGAATAAATTCCTCAGTCGCTATATGTGACGTTTAGTATTCTGATTGTAAGAGAAATAGCTCATTGGAACATCCTGATATTAATTAAGTTGGCATTCTGATCTATTTTATTTTTGCATGCGTCTCGTCAACTCTTTCCCTTAACAAATGGCCCCGAGTTGGGTAGCTGTGAAGCTCCCAGCATGGAGTAGCGAATAGCTTAGAACACAATTTTTTTAACAATTTGAAAAAGCCGTAACTTAATTCAGGGACCGAAAAGCTTTTTAGGTAATTCCAATTGAGGCCCGGGTTGGTCCAGCTAAAAGAGTCAGAATATTTGTCTTTGCTGTTAAGTTAAGACTCTGACGTAGTTTCAAATCTTTCCAAATGCTACTTGTTTAAAGCATTTTCACGCCCGAACACGGAGCCACTTACAATATAACAATTATCCGCTTTTG